GGGGGGGGGGGGCAGACGGGCCTGTGTCCAGCTGCGGAAACGCAGGGAAGGACTTGCCCAACGCCGAGGACTCGGATCTGCGGGCCTCCTCCTGTGGCCCAGAACCAGCCGGCTGTGTTTTTCTAGCTAAAAAGTTATCTTTGAAGGAAGGTTGTGGAAAAAGCAACGGCAGCCACGCGGTTTGATAAACAATCCTCGATGTACGTTCAAGAAGATGAGACGGAAGAAGAAAGGAGATGCTCTTGGAAAGTTCTGCGGCACCCGGCGGGCGCGGCTCAGCGGCTGAGCGTCAGCCGAGGACCCAGAGGGTCGGGGTTCGATGCCCGGTCGGGGCACAGGCCCGGGGTGCGGGCTCGACCCCAGCAGGGGGCCTGCAGGAGGCAGCCGATCAATGACTCTCATTGATGTTTCTCTCTCTCTCCCCCTCTCTCTGAAATCAATAAAATAAGTAAGTAAAGCCTCTGTGGCAGCACAGAAATGTATCGTACACAGAGAATGCTGCAGTCATTTTATTAAACCACCCTTATCTTCTGAAGGTTCATCCTACAGATACGGTCGACAAAGACGTAACGTCTGGAATTTGCTTCCAAAACAACCCAGGGCTGAGAGCGGGAGTGAATGAAGGGAACAGATGCGATCATCACAGACCCCGGAATGGAGACCCGAGTTCCTTACGTTGGCCGTCTGACATTTTTCATAAATATAGGCTCTCTTCCCACCAAAAGCTCTACCGATGACAATTATTTCAACCTCAGTGAAGTTTATTTTTCACTAGTTTAATACTCTTTTTACTTACCCTGCCCTCCCCAAAATAAATGTTTAAGGCCAAACTAAGAACATCCCGATAATTATTTCAATAATAGTCACCGGTTCACAGGGGAAACCCCTCAGGTTGCAGACACTGCATGAAGCACCACCAATGTGGAAACGGGGCCTCAGGAGTATGTGGTGTGGGAACAGTGGCTCTTTAGTAGGCGTGTGTGTACCTGTGTGCACGTGTGTGTGCATGTGTGCCCAGGTGAATGCACACGTGCAGAGCACCGACTGGAAGGCTGAGGCCAAGAGGTTCACAGTGTTTTCTCCAGGGTCTGTGGACTCATCCTGTGGACTCAGAGCCTGTCCTGACCTCAGTTTTCTAAAGAATTTCACAATGAGCCCATAATGTGTGTATTACAACTCACACACACACACGGAAAGAAGCCACTTAAGAGATAAAGAGCCCCAGCCCCGCAAAGGTGAAGAACCCACCACAGCTCACGTCCCATCACAGAGGAAGCCGAGCTGCGTGGGAGGCCCCTCCCCGGGGCTCTGCGTCCCCAAGTGTGCGGAAAAGCCCCTCCTCGGTGCCTCCACTCCCCCTGGGACACCACCCGGGGGCCTCACCTTGCAGATCAGCTCCAGAGTGTCCCGCGCGGTGTCGCCCGGCCGCACGACCGTCAGCGCAGACTGGTTGTTCGGCAGACAGAACCAGGACGGAGTGAAATACTCGTGGACCCAAATGTCACAGTCAGGATTCTGCTGGTGGACGCTGGGCAGGCCCATCTCCTTCTCCATCTGCAACAAGGAACGAAGTCAGGAGAGCGGCAGCCGCTGGGGTCCAGGGACCTCAGACCCCAGACGGTACAGGGGTCACCTGTTCCTACGAAAGGGCCCAGAGCAGAGGTGGGGGCCGTGGTGAAGATCAAGGGGACTCCCCGGAGAGGAAGAAAGCCCTGAGAAAGGGGTACTGGTAGGGGCGACCGGGGTCTCAGGCCTCACACCTGGTCCAGGACACCTACAGGTGAGTGGGT